GGGGGGGGTTCGAAATCAATTTAAAAAGCCTAATCGGCTGTATATGGGTGGTAAATAAATAAATAAACAATAATATCCTCTCGCCAGTGAATTATTGTAATGTAATGGAATGCACAATATTTTGTTAGAACATATAAAGCCAAAAACAATGCAATATGATTTTACCAGTAGCACCAGGCAGACATTGGCACCAATATGAATTGATCTGATCGATGCAAACCCCTCCGTTGCGGCATGGATCACTGGAGCACTCGTCGATATCAACAGCACATTCCGGGCCAGTCCAACCCGCCTCGCAGTTACAATAGTAACCTCCCGGCTAGTTATAAATAATAATTATGTGACGAACGATGGTTGAGAGGTGAATGGAATGATGCACGAAAGACACTTACGTAATCATGACAGGACGTTGCTTGTCTACAGGGTAGGTCACGACACGTCACTGGTTCCTTGCACTGAGGTCCACTCCAGAATCTTGGACATTGGCACATGGTACCGTGAATTGTTTCAACACATGTTCCACCGTTATAACAAGCGGAGCACCAGTCAGATACAGGAATGTGACAGGATGATCCTGTCATGATTGATGATGAAAAATGGATAAAAGCCAGCATGAATAAGCGACAAGACAAAAGCCGAACAATATCAGAACATGTAATCAAGGTCAGTGTTTATAAACAGTCTCTGTTACTCACTCCACGGGTTATTAAACACGTGAACACCATTTCCAAATGAATACACTCGTTCTTTAATTTTTTATTCCAAAACGCGTGTTGTTCTCGAATATAATTTCGAATAATTGGAAATTTGAATTTATAATAAGTGATTGATAAATTTTCATAATCTTTCAACTTTGAACTTTTTCATAGTCCGATGTGGTGATGCTGGAGTATGTACATTGTATATGTACAATTGTACAGTTATTAAAAATTGTAAGCAAAATGGAAATCCACAGATAAGGAGAGCCAAGGAATAAGAATACATCATTTACCTTTCCATTCAGACGGACAGGTACAATTGTAGCCATCGTTATCGCTGGTACACGTGCCACCATTGACGCATGGATTACTAGCGCAGTAGTTGATAGTGCAATTAGGTGGATTACCCATGAAGCCGGGTTTGCACACGCACTGTGGTCCCCCCTTGATATCTAAGCAGATACTGTTCGTCGGACATGCCGCATTTTCACAAAGACTACGACGTTCGCAGTGATGTCCAGCATATCCAGATATACAATTGCAGTGATACGTGCCAACATCATCGACACAAGTTCCTCCATTCTTGCAGGGGCTGGACAAGCACTCATTGAGATTTAATTCACAATTTTGACCCTCGAAACCCTCTGGACAGTGGCACACGTATCCACCGTAGTTGTCATAACATTTTCCCTTGTTCAAACACGGATTGTTGTTCAAACACTCGTTAATATTCACTTCACAATTTTTACCCTCGTATCTACGAAGAATAAATCGATGAATTGACAGGTTGATTATTGGTAAAGGTGGAGAAATAATGATGTATTTACTAAGTACTCACCCTGTGCTTTCACATCTACAGGTGTAATTGTCCATTCCATCTATGCAAATTCCTCCATTCTTACATGGATTTGATGCACACTCATTGATATCGATTTCACATGTTCTTCCGGTCCAGCCTGGCGTGCAATCACATTTGTAGTCAATATCGCTGAGAACGAGACAGACTCCCTTGTTCTTGCAGGGATTTTCATCACAAAAACGAACACCTAATTGAGAATCACACAAGGGACCTGTCCAACCCGATGGACAAATGCAGCTGTAATCACCTTTTTCATCTTCGCTGCATGTCCCCATATTTTTACAGGGATTATTTTTGCACGGAGAACCTGAAATCATTGTTCAATAAGCATTTTTCCTCGAGAATTGTCGGACGTGAGAAAACCATTGAAATGCGAAGAAAACTTTGCTCCATGAATTCCCATCGAAATAAAAACCGAAATACCAGCAAAATCACTTGAAAAAATTGTTCACTTCTTACGAACAAGTCCAAACGATTTGAGAGTAATTTACACCTGG